CTTCAGAAACTCGTTGGTCTGCCCTTTGCCATCGGCCCTTGGTGCTCACAGTCCCCCTGTGGTACTTGCTGGACCGGACTGGGACTGACTGGACCTTCCGTTGACTGACTGTGGACTCACTGCTATCCTACCGACATTGTACTGCTGTTGCACTGCGGTTTAGTCCACCACTTGCCTCTCCACTTGACCATTTGCTTACTTGCCTACCTTCTAGAAGGTCTACAACTAAGCTTTCGGAACTCACTAAGACTCCTACGCTTTCGGAACTCACTAAGACTCCTAAGCTTTCCCCCGTACGCGTATGGGAACTTAAGTTTCACTGGGTCCTTACGGGGTCTGGCCTCTCCTTCTACAATGGCTGCAGCTTTGGCACCCTGAATGGCCCCCTCACAAAACTTCCCTACATTGTCTCTCAACTGTTTGACTTCGCACCCAATGTGGGTGATGATTTCGCGCGCAAAATCCCTGAACCCGGACCCCATGGCACTCAACGCTACATCTTGGCTCCAGCTGGCCTGACGCTCTTCCATCCATCTAGGCCTTGCTCAACACCTCCAGGTACCCCAATACTTTGTCCCACTTTGCCTTATCATTTGGCTGGGCCAGCACCTCCGCTCTACACTCTTGCACCTTTGCCACTGCTGCGGTCATCTTATTCACTTCCTCTCTTCTCCTCTTCTTCTCCCTCTTCATTCTCAACTTCCATGCTAACTTTTGCTCGTCTTCTCTCTCTCTTCGTTCCATTTTGTCTGTCATGGCTGCTAGCCGTGCAGCCTTCTCATCCTTAGTCACATAGGACTCCGCCTCCTCGTCTTCCCCCAACGATAAATTAGCGACCCACTCGCTGATCTTCTTCTCCAGCTCAGTATCTGTCTCCCACTTCATCGTGCCACCACTGCTCCCTTCCCCATTGGTATCGGAGCTGGTACCCGCTATTCCATGCGCGCCGTCGTAGGCAGGGCCTGATGTGCCATAGCCGAGGTGGCAGTCGAAGGAGATCCTTCTTTCTTCCTCCTCTTGTTGTACCCTCTTCATCTCCTCCTCCAACCTCTTCATCTTCGCCGCCTGCTCGTCTGCGATAGCCTTTAGCTTCGCCTGCTTCTCGCGTTCTTTTCTCTCCCTGTTCTCTCTGACTAAGGCGACCATCTTTTCTTGCTGCTCCTTGCTATAGTCTCTAGCCCAGTACGGGTCTCAACCATGGTGATAGGTGCACAATCAGAATGATTCCACTCCTCACCACGTAGACTCTAACCCCTGACTGACAAACCTCTAGACTCGATCTAAGAACCCACAGAATCTTGACAAGGACCCTGTCAACTATGGTCTCTAGCCTAG